CATTAAATGTTGATTGACTTCATGACTTACAATGAAAATAATTATAGGTTAAGCTTACCAATATCTTTTTATTTTACTTGAACACTGCTTTCCTCATTTTGATGCACTGGGGGGGGGGTTCTGTTCTGTGCCCCAGAAAGTTTCCCTCCTCTATTCAATTTGGTCATGTGACTGTGTCTGACTGTAATGTCGAAGGGTGAGTGATTGATATGTACTCCCTTGATAATAAAATACACTTTTGAAATGCAACGCCCCTTGCATATACTGCATACCCCATTTTTGTGGCCCTGGGTTTTGCATGTTTCTATGTGGCTGTTAGGGCACTGACCTTATTCTGCTAGTAGTAGTAGTTGTATTTTTCTAAGAACACATTAAACTGCTGATCATTACAGTTCATTATAGAGAACAAAAACATGAATATGTAGTTTACTTGCTTTGCCTCACATTAAACTTTGGCAAAACCAGAAAAACCAAAGTGCTGGTTTTATCAAGGTCATATTTGATCAAATATGACCTTGTCTCTAGGCAAACTGATACTCTTGGAATTTGTGTAAAGTCAGCCGGCCTGATTAGAGTGTGTAGTATGCATCAGATAGTCAGTAAACAGATAGACTGTGTTATCTGAGACTGCAGGAATTATTGAATAGTACAGGAACACATGCATGCCAGTTTTGTTTTGAGAGCATAATACTGACACAGCCAATTAGGTGAAATGCTAATGTACAGTCAAGAGTGAAAAGGGCCGGAGATGGAAATGTTTGCGAACCCATTTTCCAGTGTGAGTTGGGAGACAATGTTTTATGTCAGTTGGCAATTATGTACAGTATATGCAATTTAGACTGCATCGAGTTCTGAGAAGAAATTATCTGGATTTCTGAATGATTGGCTCCAAAAATGTGCTCTGAACCCCATCAAAGTTAGTTGTAGCAAACAACATAAAAGACATTTGACAGTGTTTCTGATTCACCCCTACAGTGCAGCACCGTCACTGAACAAATGTCAATTTTGTGAATCTTCACATTGTGGAGGAGGATTTGCCACGGAACACTTTGTTTTCTCCAGAGCACTGTGAACTCTGCTCCAGTGCTGCTGAAGAACATCTGGGTGGCCTTGTGGGACATTTAAAAGGGCGGCAATTATTTCTTGTCCTTTATTTGGAGAGCTTGATGGAAACACTAAGAAGTTCGCTCTTTTTCAGTGTTTTTCATTATGTAGATTCATTAACACGCATAAAGCACAAAATGGCCAGATTCTGCTGCAGAAACTTTTTATTTAGTTCTTCTCTGTAATAAATAATCTTGAAAACAAATGTTATCGGTATTGATGGTGCCATGAGGAACTTTTCACATCCATGGAATCTTTCCATTCTGCGAAAGGTTCTTTATAGTGTAAAAAGATTCTTTAGATTATTAAAATGTTCTTTATGCTAAGAAAAATGGTTCTTTTAAGAACTCTTCACTGAAAGGTTCATTGGGGAACCCAAAATGGTTGTTCTGCGGCGTCATTGCACAAACACCCTTTTGGGATCTTTATGTTTAAGAGTGTTAATGTCAAGAACTTGTTTTGATCTCTATATTCTTGATAGAGCCTAACATGTTGAAAATAACCAATTAATATATTTTATTATTTAGTGTGAAAGTTTGCACTTATCTCAAGGTATGTTTACATGACACCAATGTACCAGAAGTTTTTCCTTTGCGTTTTTTTGAAAAGTTTCGTGTACAGACATGTTTCTGCAAAAATGACTAAAAATGCTGCATTATGCATGCCAGGCCAGTAGTTGGCGATGTCACTTTGTGAAGAAACACTACACACCTGCGACTCTTTTTCAGTGTTTTTCATTATGTAGATTCATTAACACGCATAAAGCACAAAATGGCCAGATTCTGCTGCAGAAACTTTTTATTTAGTTCTTCTCTGTAATAAATAATCTTGAAAACAAATGTTATCGGTATTGATGGTGCCATGAGGAACTTTTCACATCCATGGAATCTTTCCGTTCTTAATGGTTCTTTTAAGAACTCTTCACTGAAAGGTTCATTGGGGAACCCAAAATGGTTGTTCTGTGGCGTCATTGCACAAACACCCTTTTGGGATCTTTGTTTAAGAGTGTTAATGTCAAGAACTTGTTTTGATCTCTATATTCTTGATAGAGCCTAACATGTTGAACATAACCAATTAATATATTTTATTATTTAGTGTGAAAGTTTGCACTTATCTCAAGGTATGTTTACATGACACCAATGTACCAGAAGTTTTTCCTTTGCGTTTTTTTGAAAAGTTTCGTGTACAGACATGTTTCTGCAAAAATGACTAAAAATGCTGCATTATGCATGCCAGGCCAGTAGTTGGCGATGTCACTTTGTGAAGAAACACTACACACCTGCGCACATACACACACAAGCCTATAGACCAGGGGTGGCGAACTCCGGTCCTGGAGAGCCGCAGCCCTGCAGAGTTCAGCTCCAACCCTAATTAAAACTCACCTGCCTGTAGCTTCCTAATAACCGTTCAGACCTTGATTAGCTTGCTCAGGTGTGATTGGTTGGGGTTGGAGCTAAACTCTGCAGAAATATGGACCTTGAGGGCTAGAGTTGGGAGCCGCTGTGTTATGCTGGGTACACACTAAAAGATTTTTAAAATCTTATAAGATCTTCAAAATATGAGACCACAAACATGATGACAAAAAATCCTAGATTTAACCGTTTTGCTCCTATAGTGTGTGGTGTTTTCGGGGTTCCGTCCCCCACACATTAGGATTTCTGATCGTAAATATTGTATTGAATATGTTGAATATTTACGATTCGCGATCGGGGCGTCTCCGACGTTCTTCCGAGCAGATTCAGTCACTCTTAACACACCTCACACCACAGGAAAATGCCTGTAGCTTCCTAATAACCGTTCAGACCTTGATTAGCTTGCTCAGGTGTGATTGGTTGGGGTTGGAGCTAAACTCTGCAGAAATATGGACCTTGAGGGCTAGAGTTGGGAACCGCTGTGTTATGCTGGGTACACACTAAAAGATTTTTTAAATCTTATAAGATCTTCAGAGTATGAGACCACAAACATGATGACAAAAAATCCTAGATTTAACCGTTTTGCTCCTATAGTGTGTGGTGTTTTCGGGGTTCCGCCCCCCACACATTAGGATTTCTGATCGTAAATATTGTATTGAATATGTTGAATATTCCACAGTGCCACCTCAGTTCTGGAGGTTAAATGGCATGAGCAATGCTGAATTTACGTTGTGTATATTTATGGCAATAACTTCCCTCATTGAAATCCCTTACAATAAACATACTGTGGCCAAGTGATTATACAGTACTGATATTATAGATTATATACATATACTGTTGTATCTCTATGGTACATGATAAATAATACCATAGTAAAAACATTGCATTAATATAAGAGAGAAAAGCATTTTTCATAATGATTTCAAAATTTGTTCTTGCTGTTGTTTATCCATTTACAATATTTACCAGAAAAATGTAAATGTTCCTATCAGGGTTATTATTGTTTTTACTAAAAAAAACTATAGTTTTATAAAAACTATAAAAACATTTTAATTACTTGAAATAAAATAACAACATTTATAATAGCCAAGGCAACATTCTCATTTTCATTTAGTTTGAATTACTAAAATGACTCAAATGAAATTAACCAAAAACTTAAATAAAAATTATATAGACATATTAAAAAGCTAACGATAATGACAGCCATTGTATTAATAATTTAATTATTACAACTAATATTAATTAATTGTTTAAGTATTATATATAGTCATTATATATATATATATATATATATATATCGTATTTACATTTAACATTTATGCCATTTTCAGTGGGTTGTAGGAGAAAATGGTGTCCTCAAGCCAAAACGAATCAACCCGAATATCTACCAGCCACCATCATTAAAAGGTAAAGGCCTGTAGTTTTGCCTGTGATATGTGATCTGTGCCTGTTGTATTCACTCTAAAAAATGCTGGGTTAAACATTTAACCCAACCGCAGGGTCAAAACAACCCAATTGCTGGGTTTGTCCCTATTTTACCCAGCACTGGGTTGTATTTAACCCAGCATTTTTTCGAGTGTGTATACTCCTTTGGTATATATTGTTTCTGAAGACTTTCCTGCACTGTGCTGGCCCTGGGTTTAAAAACTGTCCCAAGCTGCAAGTCTGTTTTTCCTATTTTACCATGCGTGTGTGAGTAAGATTAGAGATGGAGACAGCTGTGATGGGTGTGAGTCTGTGCTGCTCTGGATCATCCTGGATTACAGCAGATAGCATACAGCTGCAAACACACACAGTTTTAGAGGACAGACGTCCATCAGAAACATTCGCCATCAGACTAGTGCACTAGAAAGATTGTGACCCACTGAGGACAATCTTAGATTGTCAACATAATGATGCTGTTGTTTTCATTTTTTGCTTAATTTAGATATATTTTCATTGACGAAGCAAAAATACAATAGCTGGCTGTATTTTGTCTTAATTGTAAGTTACACAATATTAACTTATTGTTGATAGAAAAATCCATTTGAAATCAAAGTTATATTGAGTTTGACAGCACTACTGCTTTTCTAATATTGCTTAATTGTCTCAATTGATCTATGTATTTCTCTTAGCACGTTCTATGAGAAACTAAGGAAGCTTGTTTCTGCCACACTTGTTTTTATCTAATATTAACCCGCAATTCTGAGAAAGAAAAATCTCAGTTGTGAGATATAAACTCGCAATTTCGTGAAGAAAATCAGAATTGTGAGATTTAAAAAAAAAAAAATAGCAGTTACATTTTAATATACAATTAAATTTGTATTTTTAATTTCATGGCAAAAAATTATATAGACATATTAAAAAGCTAACGATAATGACAGCCATTGTATTAATAATTTAATTATTACAACTAATATTAATTAATTGTTTAAGTATTATATATAGTCATTATATATATATATATATATATATATATCGTATTTACATTTAACATTTATGCCATTTTCAGTGGGTTGTAGGAGAAAATGGTGTCCTCAAGCCAAAACGAATCAACCCGAATATCTACCAGCCACCATCATTAAAAGGTAAAGGCCTGTAGTTTTGCCTGTGATATGTGATCTGTGCCTGTTGTATTCACTCTAAAAAATGCTGGGTTAAACATTTAACCCAACCGCAGGGTCAAAACAACCCAATTGCTGGGTTTGTCCCTATTTTACCCAGCACTGGGTTGTATTTAACCCAGCATTTTTTCGAGTGTGTATACTCCTTTGGTATATATTGTTTCTGAAGACTTTCCTGCACTGTGCTGGCCCTGGGTTTAAAAACTGTCCCAAGCTGCAAGTCTGTTTTTCCTATTTTACCATGCGTGTGTGAGTAAGATTAGAGATGGAGACAGCTGTGATGGGTGTGAGTCTGTGCTGCTCTGGATCATCCTGGATTACAGCAGATAGCATACAGCTGCAAACACACACAGTTTTAGAGGACAGACGTCCATCAGAAACATTCGCCATCAGACTAGTGCACTAGAAAGATTGTGACCCACTGAGGACAATCTTAGATTGTCAACATAATGATGCTGTTGTTTTCATTTTTTGCTTAATTTAGATATATTTTCATTGACGAAGCAAAAATACAATAGCTGGCTGTATTTTGTCTTAATTGTAAGTTACACAATATTAACTTATTGTTGATAGAAAAATCCATTTGAAATCAAAGTTATATTGAGTTTGACAGCACTACTGCTTTTCTAATATTGCTTAATTGTCTCAATTGATCTATGTATTTCTCTTAGCACGTTCTATGAGAAACTAAGGAAGCTTGTTTCTGCCACACTTGTTTTTATCTAATATTAACCCGCAATTCTGAGAAAGAAAAATCTCAGTTGTGAGATATAAACTCGCAATTTCGTGAAGAAAATCAGAATTGTGAGATTTAAAAAAAAAAAAATAGCAGTTACATTTTAATATACAATTAAATTTGTATTTTTAATTTCATGGCAAAAAACCCCAAAGAGAATTGTAATATGTAAACTCAGAATTCTGAGAAGAAAAGTCAGATATACACTCAGAATTGCAAGAGAGTCCGAATTTATGTTTAGTTTATATCTCGCAATTCTGAGTTTTTATATCAGAATTCTGACTTTTTTCCTCAGAATTGTGAGGAAAAAAGTCTGAATTGAGAGAGTCAAAATTACCTTTTTTCTGCCAAAAACAAAAAAATCGGACAATGATGACATGAATTAGTTTTATTAGTAATGTGTGAAATTAAAAGAAGGGAAAATAGCTATGCATTACTGTGATATTGTCTCTGAATGTGTTTTGTCTGTTTTGTGAATCATCAAAAAGACGGGTGGTGTGTCCTGTCATTGCAGCATAAATAAAACCTTTTCTGGTTGGCACGGTGCAGAAGTCCTGTTAAAAGTAAACAGACCCATCCATCCCTCTTTACCTGTGTGTGTTTGAGCATGTTCCTGTGTTTTCTCCTTGTGGTTTGGTGATCCCTGATTTGTGAATCCCCCTGTGTGTGTGTGTGTGTGTGTGTGTGTGTGTGTTTATAGCCGTGCAGCAGATGGCTGAAGCTCACATGCAGAAATTAGGTGTGTATCGTCATGTAGAGGAGGAAGGGGGGGAGGAGCTTTCCTCATCCTGCATACCTGGTAATCTTAATATCACATCACAGAGGAACCCTCTACATATGCATGTCATCATCATCAAGAAATATAGGCCATTCTCACAGAACAGTGACATCAGTGATTAATGTTTTGCTTTATAATGTTTTATATTATTACTATCTAATTATTTATTTTATAATATTTTATACAATTCTTGTTATTTATTTATTAATGCTGTCAGTATTTGGTTTTTATCATTTAATTTGAAAAGATTACTGCTGAACATTCACATCAGCCTTACAAAAACAATAGTAAGAGAAGACGCTTTCTATTATGTCAGATTAATATTACTATATACTTTTTCTATTACTACTATTATTTTTAAAGGGGCAAATGTAAAGAAAAGTTACGTTTTTTAATGTTTATTTTAACATTTCTTTTGCATTATGCATATATAATACATTTCTATTGAATTATGCATTAAACAGAGATAAAACTACAGTACCAAATAATGTGAACTCTTCAGTATTCTGTTAATTATATTAATATTAAGTGATAACAGCGCAGATAACAGTTTCCTGAGACTGACCCACAGACAAATATATTGTAGGCACACATTTAGACACTATTTAGCACTGTTTTCATGCAGTTGGAGGTGGACTTTGGGTCATTGGGTTTTTAAGACTTGTTTTAAGTGGGGAAAAACCGAAGAGTTACTTCTTTCTCTTGGGTCCAGAGTAGAGTCTTTCATTGTGCATTTCCATATTCCCCCACTAAATTTCAGTGCAAATTTACACTTTTTATAAAAAGTTCTGTCTTAGTCTTATATTTAAACACTGATAAAGTATATTTGGTCTTTGTGTCTTTAAAACATCATTGTTTTCTTATGTTGTGCTGCTCTCTCATACCAATGCTAATGTTCCAGGTCAACAAACATTATCATATTTGCATGTAACATTCAACCCAAAATATTAGCCAATCAAAGATGAGATTATCTGTTGATTCCATTTTTTATTTTATTTCATTTAATAAATACTAATTTTAAAGATTCACAGGAGCAAAGGGGCATGGCAGAATACCAGCCTGGCATGAGAAAGGCAGGAGCCACGGCACCGACTGATGAAGAGGAGGAGGAGGAGGAGGAGGAAGTAGAAGCGGACGATATGGCAGAGGATGAGTGCAGAAATGTGGACTGAAAGAGCAAAGTTTGAGAAACTTTAGAGATTTTTTTCATAATGCAGAACCTTGTTTGGAAATCAGAATTATTGTTTATTGATTACTGGTCAATAATTCCATCATTTGATAAAACAGCTGTCTGTTTGTATTCAGAGACAAAAAGAGACTCTGAAAGACTGGAATTTTGAAGTGGTCAAACAACCTCAAACAAATAACTCACCCCGACATTGCCATGATTATAGAAATATATAAGGTAAAATCCATCAGCAGTCATATAATACCATCCTTGCGTTCACAAACAGGTAAAGTACAACTGTTTAGTTCTATGAGCAGCACGGTACGAATGTGAAGTGTTGAGAAATGTGTCAAGTGTTCATGTCATGTTTTATGTGTGTTTTGAGTCGCAGTATGTTTTGTGATCGGTGGATTTCTGTGGGCCTACACTGCCATCTGGAGTACAGAGAATTGTTATACTGAATTCCATGAAATAATTTGCCAAGAACAATAATCCCAGAGCACATGGAAAGTATTTCACAGCATTATTGTTTAGCGTTATGTTCAACCACTGCCAACATCCTTGTAGTTGGACTGCACTTCAAACTATAGTTCATTTTTTTTTATTATATTTCCATATTTATAAATATAAATATATTTATAAAAATGTAACATTTAATATTTGCATATTTATAAATATAATTATATTTATAAAAACATAAAATGTTATATATTTGAAAATATAAAAATAAATTATTACTCATTTCTAAAATTATGTAAAATAATTTCTAAATTCACCACCGTTGGTAGATGTGGTGAAATCATATCGGTGCACTCAGTCATTTTTCTGTCATTAAAGAAGTTTCACACATAGAGTTGAAAAGTATTTCTGAAAAAATAACCCAATAAAGGCTGTTTTGCTTTTACACGGAGTGGACCATGTAAAGATCACAAATTCTAGTTTGATTTATCTCACTGTTTTGGGAGATTTTCACCTCATGGAACAAACTAATCGCGGCTGACTGTGAATAACACATTCCTACAATCTTGTCTTTGTGATTCATTTGTGGTTTGTCAATGACATTGTGATCAAAGCTGCTATAAACATCATATTTGCATACAGAATAGAATTTGCATCTCTTGATATGACTGTATTTGGTTACAGATAACTAAAAAAAAAATCCAAATTCAGTGCCTCGGGGTGAAAGTTCAGTGCTCATGTATATCAGGAATATCAGAAACATGTGTCAATCATTTCAGTCAATTACTGTAGTAAACAACTTGCATTATTATTAGCTGGATAACTTATTACTTAACTTAGTTTTTAAGTTTCTTCCTTAAAATGTTGAACTATTTTTAAAAATGATTGTTAATGATTTAAAATGAAAAACCAACAGCCACGTGTTGCTTTTTAAAGAAATTGTACTGCTTTATATCGAATATAATCATATTTGTATGCATATCCTCTGAAGCTCATGCAGGTACACATTGTTGATTTTGATTAACGTATTATAAAAAATCTGAGAAAATGTACCAAATTAGTAAATATATCCATAGGACTATGGAAATGTTTGAGGTTAAAATCTCTGTATCAATAAATATATTTGCACTGAATTCAAGTGTTAAAGAATATCTTTTTCATATTTTGGGATCATAATAACGGGCTAACTCTAATTTATTTCATAGTCTTGCTGCCATTTGGACTAAATTGGACATGCTTGACCTCGGTTCTATAATTTTACATTTGGAAAGAAAGTATGATTTTTATACTCAAAACAATAAAAATGTTCATCAACAAGGCATATTGTCAATTTAATACCACCAAGACGAGCATGTGTGGGCAGTTTTGGCAAAAACATCCAGTTTCTGTTGTAAACAGATGGCGGCACAGTGGTTCTCTATCCCATATCTTGAACGTCTCTACCTTTGATGCTTTCAAAATCTGGGCTAAAACTGATCTGGCTTGGATTCCCAAAAGAGGTGGTCCATATTTAAGTGAAAAATCTAATTTCTCAGATTCTTCGCCGACAGCTTTTGCTTTGACTATACCATTAGGAGGATCCAGGATTAGGAAACTTCCTAACTTCCTAAACTAACGTTTGCATCAGATCCCTGTGTTTGGCATTGTGACTAACAGATAAGTGGGGCGGCACACACGAGACGTGATGCTGTGACCTACTTCACACAATATAGTGATCATAGTGTTTTATGGTGAGTTATGGGAACATGTGGCTGATGGAGGAAATGAAACCCAGGATTTCTGCCCTGACGCTGCACACACCGTTGTATTACTGACAGTGGGAAATTCTAAAACTAGATCAGACCATGAACATATATAAGAAAAACAGACCTCATGATGTTGTGGTGGGAAATGAGGCCATCCGTTTACTAGAAATCATGCGTAACTGAGAGAATAAAAGTACAAATGTGACCCTGGAGCACAAAAGCAGTCTTAAGTCGCTGGGGGATATTTGTAGCAATAGCCAAAAATACATTGTATGAGTCCAAATTATTGATTTTTCTTTTATGCCAAAAATCATTAGGACATTAAGTAAAGATCATGTTCCATGAAGATATTTTGTAAATTTCCTACTGTAAATATATCAAAACTTAATTTTTGATTAGTAATATGCATTGCTAAAGACTTGATTTGGACAACTTTAAAGGCGATTTCCTCAATATTTAGATTTTTTTGCACCCTCAGATTCCAGATTTTCACATAGTTGTGTCCCAGCCAAATATTGTCCGATCCTAACAAACCATACATCAATGGAAAGCTTAGTTATTCAGCTTTCAGATGATGTATACATCTCAATTTCGAAAAATTGACCCTTATGACTGGTTTTGTGATCCAGGGTCACAAATGTCATCCACTTTTTGGACTTGCCCAATAAAATTTCCCATTTTATATACTTTTTATTAATGTGTTCATTGCAATTTTTACACACGTCAACCAGTCAACCTGTTATGAACTGAAAAATAAAACTATGGTAATTTGATATTAGTCATTCACACTGGTTTAAGCCCTTACATTAATTTATTCAGATTTCTCATTATATATACATACTGCACCAAGTGATGCATTTTTTGTTTCATTTCGGCGTTTCACACTTTAGCCGCGAGCGCTTCTGAGCGTCGATCAGCTGGCGGATGTGACGTCTCTCACATCCGATTGTTATCGCGGAAGTGCAGCAGGCTGCTAGTGAGAATGATGCGCTGAATCTGGTGAGTTTCGGCTTCACTTCGACTCTCTCGACTGATTTTGTTCGGTACTTTTAAATGAGTTTTAAACAACTTGTCTCAACTGTCAGCAAGTGTTCATGTTTAGAACTACAAGCTTGTTTATGCTCCGATTTACGTGCCAACTAGACAAATAAGTGTAATGTACTCATGAATATTAATTAGGTCTGTTCTGAATATCAAGTATGTGTTTATGAAGGGTTATATATGAGGCCATTTTTATTGTGAAATATATATTTAAAGCTTATTTGCCACATGTAGAGGAACATCAATCATGTTGACTGTGCAGAATTATTATATGATGCTTTTGCTTCCCCAGTATTTATTATCTGGTCTATTTCTGTCACATGATTTTATTCATTTTCGCAATCATTCTTTGGACAAACAGGGAAGAGTGTGTTATCAAACCTGAAAGCCTAGTGCTAAAAGTTCAAATGCCTCTAATCTAGCGATTAGGCTAGATTTAGTGCTCTTAAATGATTTTTGGAGTTGCCATGTCAGTTCATAAGCACACATTAGATGGAAAATGATGGCATTTAGTGATTCACTTTTAATTGTCACACCATACTATGTTTCCCCCTAAGATTATCACAAATTATTCAGATTTATTCAACAAAACCTAGTTAATGCAACCATGGTGACATTGATTATTTAAATCAACAGTGTTCAGTGCATAACAGAAAACGAATTATTTACATTCACAAGGTGTACAAATATGTTTATGATTTCTGGACCGGAATGCAAAATGTAATATTTAGTGCATATATAGTATAATATGCAATCAGATACACTACATAGGGCAAGCCTTTTGTTAAGCCATGACTAGACCAGCTTTAAAAGTGGTCAAAGGCTGCTTGATTAGATCTTGTTCTCCAGCCTGTTGCTTTGATCACTGTGCTTTCAGTTTAATTGCAGTATCTTGTTGCATAAGAGCCATATAAAGCATGTATGTTTGTTAGACTGTTTGATCATCTGTTCTTCTCTGGTGCAGGGGATGTGCTCCAGCTGGATGTAGTTATGCAGAGCGGCGTGGACTACAGCGAGTTGGGAGGAAGTTTTCCAGCCATTGCCTCATTGAACGCCTCATATTCCCAGGCGTCTCTCTCCCTTCCCTCCCCTTACTACCCCCCGCTGCCCCCGGGAGAGAGGAAAGCCTTCTCAGACGTACGCCGAACATTCTGCCTCTTCGTTACATTTGACCTCCTCTTCATCACTCTGCTCTGGATCATTGAGTTAAATGTAAGTTTTTATTTTTGTTTCCAAACTGACTTATTGCCCAATGCTAATGGTTTTTATTTGTCGTTCAGTTTGTACTTCCTTTTTGTACTTCGCCCATAGTCGTGTGGGGTGAATGTTACAGTTGATTGTACGTGCCTGTTTCACTTCCTCTGATGAAAATAGAGCTGTGCATATTGTGATTTGCATATTACATGTATGATTTTATCATTTTTTAAATAATAAAATAATAAACCATAAAAAACAAAATGCAAATATTTAGATAAAGTAAAGAGATTTTCATATATGTTATGTATTTGCTATACTAAATATATGGTTAAAATATATTTAATATGCAAAGTATTTATATTGTTTAATTATATAAATGTATCAGAAAGAGCTTTATTGCCAAGTATGTTTGCACATACAAGAAATGTGTTCTGGTGACAGAAGCTTCCTGTACACAAGACAACAACAACACACAGTAATAAGAAATAATAAAATACACATATATGCAAATAAACATAAATAGACTAAATTTGTATGTACAGTAGAGATACAGTAGAGATATATAGATGCAATAGAATATAATTTACAAGGAATGGAATAAGATGTAGGGTACTATTAAATAAAAGTGGTATTGCACATCTTTTTATTGAACAGTAGGGGAGAACATTTAACTGTTCATAAGGTAGATTGCCTGAAGGAAGAAACTTTTCTTGTGCCTAGCTGTCCTGGTGTTCGGTGCGCTGTAGCGCTGGTCAGACGGTAAAAGTTCAGAAAGGAGATGGCTTGGATGTGAGGGGTCCAGAGCGATTTTCTGATTTTCCCTTTTCCTCAATCTGGATATATACAGTTCTTAAAGGGGTCCTATTATGCTTTTTCACTTTTTAAATTTTAGTCAGTGTGTAGTGTGTATGTTTGGGCATAAAAAAGATCTAGAAAGTTACAAATCTCAAAGTCCACTCCAAAGGGAGATATTTAGTTTTTAAAAATTCCATTTTCAAGAACTACTGCAAACGGCTCGTTTGGACTACAGCGTTTGGTTTCCGGGCTTTGTGACATCACAAAGCGGCTCATTAGAATTTCATTACAAATAATTCCCGCCTACAGAAATTCGAATGGTTGGGGGGTGGGGAGGGGCGCGGTCGTGGTTAGAACGCTTGGTTGAGTGCATGAGACGAGACGACGAAGAAGAAGAGCTGCTGCAAAGTTAGTGCATCAGAGAAAACCAAGAAGAAGAGCTGCTGTGCTGTAGCTTCAAATTTTTGGCAGCTAACCAATCACAAAACATTTTGTTTTTCGGAAGGCGGGCCTTCATCAAAGCCGGAACTAATCGAGCTGTTTGTGCCAGCCTGGGGAGAAAGGGATTGTAATAATGTAAATTATGTGAAAAATAATGCGTTTTTCGAACCACCAAGCATGAGAGCATGTTCTAGTACACCCCCAAAACAAAATCAAGACTTTGTAAAAGAGCATAATAGGACCCCTTTAAAGGGTGGGCAGGGGAGCACCAATAATCCTCTCAGCAGGCCGAACCGTCCTCTGTAGTCTTCTGATATCTGATTTTGTAGCTGAGCCAAACCAGACCGTTATTGAAGTGCACAGGACAGACTCAATGATGGCTGAGTAGAACTTTGTGTGCAGCTCCTGTGACGGGTTGAACTTCCTCAGCTGGCGAAGGAAGTACAACCTCTGCTGGGCCTTTTTAACAATGGAGTCAATGTGATTGTCCCACTTCAGGTCCTGAAAGATGGTGGTGCCCAGGAATCTGAATGACTCTACTGTTGTTAAAGTGCTGTGCATGATGGTGAGTGGGGGTAGTGCAGGGGGTTCCTCCTGAAGTCCACGATCATGCAGACTCCTCATCGTCTTGGATGAGGCCAATGACTGTAGTGTCATCTGCAAACTTCAGGAGTTTGACAGAAGGGTCAGTAGAGGTGCAGTCGTTGGTGTAGAGGGAGAAGAGCAATGGGGAGAGAGCACATCCCTGGGGGGTGCCAGTGCTGATGGTGCGGCTGTTTGACATGAATTTCCCCAGTCTCACTAGATGTTTCCTATTTGTCAGAAAGTTGGTGATCCATTGATAGAGCTAGGAACAGAGTGCTGGGTTAGTTTGGTCTGGAGGAATGCTGGGATGATTTGATTGAAAGCCGAACTGAAGTCCACAAACAGGATCCTCACATAAGTCCCTGGTTTGTCTAGATCAGGGGTGGCGAACGTCGGTCCTGGAGAGCCGCAGCCCTGCAGAGTTTTGCTTCAACCCTAATCAAACACACCTGAACACGCTAATCAAGGTCTGAAGGGTTACTAGGAAGCTACAGGCAGGTGAGTTTTAATTAGGGTTGGAGCTGAACTCTGCAGGGCTGCGGCTCTCCAGGACCGGAGTTCGCCACCCCTGGTCTAGATGTTGTAGGATATAATGCAGTCCCATGTTGACTGCATCATTCACGGACCTGTTTGCTCTGTAAGCAAACTGCAGGGGGTCCAGTGATGTCCTTCAGATAAGCCAACAACAGTCTCTAGTGACTTCATGACCACAGCACAGATGTTAGGGCAACAGGTCTGTAGTCATTAAGTCCTGTGATTTTGGGTTTCTTTGGAATGGGGATGATGGTGGAGCGTTTGAAACAGGAAGGGACTTCGCACAGCTCCAGTGATCTGTTGAAGATCTGTGAAAAGATGGAGGTCAGCTGGTCAGCACAGGTTTTCAGACAGGCTGGTGAAACTTCATCTGGGCCTGGTGCTTTTCTTCTCTTCTGTTTCCTGAAGACCTGATGGACATCATCTTCACTGATCTGAATTGCACAAGGGGGGAAGGGGGGGGGGAGTATATACTCTTGAAATACCGTGCCATGGGAAAACGTTTATTTTAAAGGTATTTTCCATCTGTATTATGAGCCTTTTCGTGTCTTACTTCATGTTTGTTCAAATATCCAGAATCAGTCACTTACCTGTGGTTTGGGTGTTTTAGGCACTCTTGCAGTGTTCCGCAGAGCTGGTGTATCAGGAGGTCATTTTACAGCCGGAGAAGATGGTGCAGTGGAACAGAACAGTGTCTGTTTGTCAGGTACACATACACTCACAGATGCCTCCATTAACCTCAGCTGAAACACATGTTGGTGTGAGGCATGTTTTAATAGTGAAAACACATGTACACTTTCAAATGTACAAAACAAATACACTACTGTTCAGAAGTTTGGTATCGGTAAGATTTTAAAATGTTTTTGAAAGAATTCCATTTTGCTCACCAAACTTACATTTATGTGAAACAAATGAGGTAAAAACAGCAATATTGTGAATTTATTAGAATTCTCTCTTTGAGTATATTTTAAAATGAAATAAATTTATTGTGATGCAAAGCTGAATTTTCAGCAGCATTACTCTAGTCTTCAGTGTCACATGATCCTTCAGAAATTATACTAATATGCTGATTTGCTAAGTACACTTTAAAATGTACAAAACAAAATACACTACTGTTCAGAAGTTTGGTATCGGTAAGATTTTAAAATGTTTTTGAAAGAATTCCATTTTGCTCATCAAACTTACATTTATGTGAAACAAATGAGGTAAAAACAGCAATATTGTGAATTTATTAGAATTCTCTCTTTGAGTATATTTTAAAATGAAATAAATTTATTGTGATGCAAAGCTGAATTTTCAGCAGCATTACTCTAGTCTTCAGTGTCACATGATCCTTCAGAAATTATACTAATATGCTGATTTGCTACTCAAGAAACATTTTTTTATTATTATTATAAATGTTGAAAACAGATGTTCTGCTTATTATTTTTGTGGAACCTATGATACATTACATACATACCTGGATTATTTGATGAAAGCTAAAAAAAACAGTATTTATTTGAAATGGAAAATAAAAATCTTACGCAATATTATAAATGTCTTTACTGTCACTTTTGATCAATCTAATGCCTCCTTGCTGAATGAAAAGTAAATGGATGTGTAAAATAGGTCTTGTCAGAGATAGGACCTGACACTTAGTGTTTGTGCTTCGACAGGGTGGTATTTATGCTGATGACCCAAATTTGAATCCATCCCTATTGTTTCCTGTTTTCTCTCTGACTTTCCCTGCTAGTTAAAGAAACAAAAAGGCCATAAATAAAACTCTAAGATGCTACACAAATAAAATAGGTGTTTTTGTGGGATGGTTTTGAGTTTTTAATCATTGAAACAGCCTTGAAGTAAGTAGCTGTTTGTAAGTGTCCTGCATACACTCTGCCATTACAATTAATGTTCTCTCTGTGTTCTTCTCTGATCTGTCTACAGATTTTACAGAGAGTGGATGACAACACAATGGTGTCATATGATGTTTCTGCAGGAGCCGCAGGAGGTGTCGTGTCTCCCAGGTGAGTTGATGCTTAAGTCTGTTTAAAATGTGAAAGCAGTGCATATTTCGTATTTATTATAATTTTTAGCTGTTTTGATTGGCTGTACAAATAATTGAGAAGTCAAAGGGTTCAAACTGTCTTTTTCTTGTTCTTCATCTTCAGGGACTTTGTGAACGTTCGTCGGGTGGAACGCAAGCGAGACTGCTACATCTCTGCAGGAATGGCCACCAATCACAGCAGCAAACCCCCTCACAGTCGCTATGTCAGGTCTGCTTTTGGCTTCATCAGCAAATAAAAAAGGAGAACTTAAAACTGTAAACTAAACTCTCTCTCCTTCTCTCTTTCAGAGGGGAAAATGGTCCTGGTGGATTTGTGGTGTTGAAATCTAGCAGTAATCCTTCAGTTTGCACCTTCATCTGGGTCCTCAATACAGACCTTAAGGTAAGACCTGCAGTTACTGCCAATTTGTACATTTAAGCCATTTGAACAAAGTCAAATTATGCTTTTAATTAGTTGTTTTAAAAGGCAAGCATCAATACTATTATTATTGCAAATGCATAGAATTAGAGATTTGAACAATCCCATAACATTAAGTATTTAACTTCATTGTGCAACTCATCCTGCACCATTTGTGTTACAGACATGAATGATGCCTTAAATCAGTGGTTCTAAATTCCAGTCCTGGGGAGCCTCTTCTCTGCACATGTCTCTCTTATCTGACACACTCAGGCTACGTCCACACGAAGCCAGAGCTTTCCCTGTCCGATCTTTTTTTCCCCCTCGTCTCAAGAAATATCTGCGTCCACACGAAACCACAAAACGATGTAGTATACATGCCAGACCAGTATGTGGCGCTGTAATTCTGCCACAGAGATACACTAAAAACAGAGAATAAGACTTGGACTATGCACATAAACCTTGCACGCAATATACAAACGAACATGGAACAATGCATTTATTAATCTGTGTTAATGTTAGTTAATAAAAAGACAACGGTTCAGTGTTTGTTCATGTTTCTGTTGCTGTTACGTGACGTAGCGGTGTCTGACTAGGGGCGAGACGTGGGCTGATGACGTCATCGTTTCAGAAAATATACGGATTCGCTGTCCACATGAAAACGCAAGGGCGGCGGTTTCAGGTTTATCCACTCTGGGACCCGGTTTCAAAAAATATCGGTTTCACTCTCCCAAAACGCCGGATCCGTGTGGACGAAACGCCTATACGATATTAAATTTATGCATATACAGCTAAACGCATCTCCGTGTGGACGGGGCCTCAGTTCAGTTCATGGATCTCTCTCCTAATGAGCTGATAATCTGAATCAGGTGTGATAAATAAGGGAGACATGCAAAATGTGCCGAGCAGGAGGTCCCCAGGACTGGAACTGAGAACCAGAGCCTTAAATCAAGCAATTTGTTGAGAGGATGTGTGCTATAGCATTTTGAAGCATTCAGATTTATAATTTTCATGATGGATGTTAAAATGGGAGATAAATCCAATAAAATTACATTTGGGGGTTGGCTATTTTGATTTGGACCAGTTAAAGAGGTAATTCACAACTGGCAAGATGTGGTTTTTAATAAAAGTTGGCTGTCTATGCAGTATTTTTGTTTATTTATTTTTTAATCGGTACTACATAAATAGAGAAAACTATAGAAGCTTGTTTTCGCCATGGAATGAAACTTATTTTCTCAGAATTGCAAGATATAAACTCACAATTGCACAAAATAAAGTCAGAATTGGGAATTTTTTTTTGTGAGACTTTTTCTTGCAATTATGAGTTTATATCAAGCAATTAAATGCAAAATTTTGAGATATAACCTCGCAATTGTGAGAAAAAAGTGAATTGTGAGATGAAAAATTAGCAATTTTCTTTTTTAACTTTTTTGAAACAGCCTACCATAGAAAACGGAGAAAAAGGGCTATGGCAAAAAAGTAGGAAAACTTCAACACCCATAATGCTCTGGGCTTGATTAGATTATCTGTGAGCGGGAATACAAAAATTCAGAAATGCAATCTGATCTGTAATTTTCACAATTTGCCCTGGAGCTGTCAAAAGTCCACCAGATGACGTGTTTTGTCATTAGTAAATAAATGGGGATGTCTTGGTGAAGGTAATACGGAAAAATAATTATTTATTTATACTATCATCATTAACCATACAAGGCTTGTTGAAAATCAGCAAACGTAAGGTGGTCACACACCGGACGAGAAGCACAGCACAGCATCGCACCACGTCTTTAAAACACAGCTGCGTCGTGTTGTACGAATTGTCCTAGACGTGGCACGGTGCGGCGCTTCTCGTCCGGTGTGCAACCTCCTTTACCCTTTAAAGCCACCTAGCAACCACCCAAAACACCCTAGCAACTGCTCAGCTACATTCTAAACAAACACTCAGACTACCATTGCAACCATAAGGCAGTAACTTGTACGCAATTTGTTTTGTTTTGTTTTTTTTTCAGAAAATGTTTTAATCTAGTTTACAATTAAATGTAATAAATTACTAATAAATACATAAATAATATAATTACATGTATTATTTATCTAAAAATATAAATAGATTTTATATAAGATCTAAATATGAAATGTATTTATTTATTATAAATAAATTTTCTTATTACAGGGTCGCCTGCCACGTTACCTCATCCACCAGTCACTGGCCGCCACCATGTTCGAGTTTATGTCTCATCTCAGGCAGCGTATAAATGTCCACGTCTCCTACCGGTGATCTCTGGCTTTGACTCTTTATCCAGCCACAGTTTACATTGTGGTAACTTCAAATTTCACTGTGCCATATTCAAACTACAACTGCTGAGAGGAGATACAGCATTGCGTTTGACTGGCGGGAGGTTGTCACGGCTGTCTGCGTCTAGGACAGTTTGGCTGCACTTTACACTGAAGTTTAATTTTATATAAATGTACTACTGCAGCACACAGAGGTCATAACTCATACTGTCAAACCCAACAAGAGCTGGAAACATGCACAGGAAGTTATCAGAGAGCAGCTTGTGCTGTATGAGAGGTCAGGGGAAAAACTGATTGTGCCTAAAACCACTGTTGTCCCCTAGTGAACACGACTGACGGCTAGGACTGTTTCTGAGCCGAATATGCTGTGGTTTCTCATTCTGCTTTTACTTTTGCCTTAATCGAACATGCACACACATTCATACTAATTGTAATTATTGTTTTAGATCTTCTTTTGGTTTGCAATTGGCTCTTGTGGCCAGACATTGCTGTATTCGATTATTAAAAGTAAATGCATTCATCTGTAGCATAGATCAGCATCCTGCCATGTATATGATCATTTGTCTAATAATGTAAATGGTTAAGAGTTTGATTATATAGTTATGTCTTAAATCAACATATCCGGTTAACTACGACCCAGAGTATTTGCATAAAATATGCTGCAACAAAAAAGCTAACTTTTGTGCTTGATTTTATTCTATAAAAACTGGTTCAAAGCAGCTCAAAATCCATGTGAAATTAATATAACGGGCCTTTTGTTGAAATGCATGCATTTATTTCTTGCATTTATTGCATGTCAGTTTGTTTTCTCAAAGAGCATTACTGTCCACGTTTTTTTGATTATACACATGTTTACCACATTTATACAGGGCATAGCAATTTATAAACAGAAACTAAGGCATAGTCGCTCACTGGTTGTTTGATTAGTATTGTCTTATAGAAATGCAAATGTGTCCTACATTAACAGTTGCCTTGAAGCAAACAAAATGCATACTGGTTTTAACAGAGAGAAAAAAACACTCTTACAGGGTATTGCGCTTCCTTTTAAGGGACAGCACATGTTGAAGTTGGTTTATCAGTGGTATCGTGAAAAATGTTGATCTTTTTAAAGTCCTGTTCTGTACTTTGTTTTGCAGCCTTCTTGGCTTGTACTTGTGTGCCTTTGTTACAGTTTCCCTCACTGAAATCACAAGTTGCTTTCGTTATTTAGATTTATTTTGTAACACTTTTTTTGGCCTCTATGGACTGTATCCACATTTGTTTGTGCAGAGCCTTTTGCAGTTCACTTGAATTCACTTGTGATTCAGCTTCTGTGTGAATGATATTTTTATACTGATTTACAGTAATATGAAGCTATACAGAATTGTCATGTAACTCAAAAATCATGATTTTTTAAAAAAAATGAAGAATCAACATTAAATAAAACTAACAAACCGTTTTTACAGGATGTCTGATACCTGTTTCAGATTTATTGTTAACTAAACCGTGACCCCAAAAGTTAATGAACACTTTAACAATGCTTTTAGTCTGAATGTCAAAATATGTACATGAATATTGTTTTTATGCTATATATATATATATATATAGCTTCCTTAAAACTTCTATACTGCTATAATGTAAGCTTTGTTAACCCACTTTAAATGATGACAACTAGAAATAATTTTGTATTTACTGTGAACCATATATCTTCAGTATAATCATATAAGACCTAAAAATATTGTGAAATGTTTTGTTTGAACATTATCCTTAGTTGAGATAGATGCCACTTGGTTTGATATTTTATCTAATGCAATGACATTCGGACATTTGAAGTTTTGCTTTGTGACCAAATACTTGAACAAAAACATCCTGACATAATCACAAGGATTATTATTTGTATTATGTTTTTTAAGTTAAAAGCCTCTGGCAGAGTAAGTTGTGCCCAGCCTACCATGTGATGGGACACAGCCTATGAGCCTCTCACATGAGTATCACACATCAAACACTTCTCTATTTCTCTCTTTATTGCATATCAATTCAGAGGCTTGGAATTGTGTTGGTTTATGTATTAATGTTAAAGCTCAATTACATTCTCAGTGACCTTTGTACACAATTGCAGGTTTGTCTCGCTTTTAGACAAACGTTCAGCCACAACCAAAATGATGCAATGGGAGATGTGAAGTGTCTGTTACTCCTTAAGGACTGTACAGTTAATTTACACATCTTATATATGCAAAGCAACGTGCATAAGTGTCTTTTTGTGACTACAAACTTTAGACAGAAATTCCTACCCTTTTTATGATGCATGACAGCTGGCAAAAAAAATAAAAATTCTGTGCATTTTGTATTTGTCTTGTATCTTGTAGACATCATGCTGACAACACAAGTTTTCTACACTTATCTCAACCAAAATGATGCAATGGGAGATGTGAAGTGTCTGTTACTCCTTAAGGACTGTACAGTTAATTTACACATCTTATATATGCAAAGCAACGTGCATACGTGTCTTTTTGTGACTACAAACTTTAGACAGAAATTCCTACCCTTTTTATGATGCATGACAGCTGGCAAAAAAAAAAAAATTCTGTGCATTTTGTATTTGTCTTGTATCTTGTAGACATCATGCTGACAACACAAGTTTTCTACACTTATCTCTGGATTTCACCTGCTGAAAATATTTTTTAAAAAGTCAAATATAAATATTAGATGGAAAAACCTGAACAAAATTGAGAAATGAAATACGTTTAAGCACTGAAATGATTAAATCATTTTAAAAAGTAAAAAACAAAATATGAACATAACTATAATGCATAAAATGACTAAATGAAATTGACTGAAAATGTAAAAAATAAAAGCAAAATCAAAAACTATAATAGTTTATAAATAATACTAAAGTAACACTGCTGTTACATGCTTCTCAAATCTGGTATTTAGGTTTGATTATTTTGCCAGTGAGCACATGAGGTTTTCCATGAAGCAGGAGGTTTAGGATTATTGGTTTTCATAATAATATGAAGCAACAGTGTTATGCAATCACTCTTTTTACTTCAAACCTGCTTCATTTTCACTATAACCCTTTAAAATCGTATGAGGTTTTGGATATGCAAAGCGAAAGCAAGCTGTTGAAAACGTTGACGGAGGTAAAAGCTCGTTTGTGTTTTGGGGCTGTAGGACGAGTGGCTTTATTTCGAGGTCTGTGATGGCCTCAGGTTACGCAGCTCAGACTCATGACTAAACTGTGATGTTATTCATTCTAGAGAGAGACTGAAATCTTTTAGTCGCTCTCTGGGCCCCAAAAGATGCTTCACTTCTGAATAAGAGAAAATTGTGTTTAGACCTGAATTGATGGATTCAGCATTTTGCCGGGAGTTTCTGGGGTAAGTTATATCAAAGCAATACATTCCACTATTATTTTCATCTGAAAATACTCAACGGATGCTGAGGCTCACCCTGAAGAACCTGACAGCTTGAACAAAGGCAAGAAGATTGATTCTTTTATATTCACGTTCTTCAGAAATCTCACTAGTGTCTAGTGTCTTGGAGAAGCAGGTGTGGTGTTTAACACTCACCTCTTTCTTTCCAAGCTTCTAGTTTTGTATTTTGAGGATGGGTGCCGCCTTCAAGAAGTTCTGTATGCGATTTTGCTGTTGCTGCTGCTGTGAGGATGACGAGGAGGAAGAAAAGAGACCTTTACTTAGGTATTACTTTTAGGGGATGGGGGGGTCCGTTTGCTTTTGTATCATGCCTGATTGATGCTTTGAGTTTATGCTTTCTCTCAAAAAATATAGTATTTCCTATCATTATTATTTTTTACAGGAAAATGTCTTTAGTTCAAACTGAGTAAACATGCATACTAAAAGTTTTAACAGCTACTAACTCTTCAACTCTAGTACAACATGTGGAAATGGTATTTCATA